AGTCTGTTCACTTTGCTCGTTCTTTGTTATGCAGACTTGCGATCATTAACAGCAAATGTGGAATGTCATCACCATGGCAATATTGTGAATATTGCAATAATTTTAATAGTTTTATTCAAAATGTGTCATTAGACTGGTTTCACGGTCCTTCTCTGTTTTTTGTCTTTTAAATATATCAGAGTTTGAAGCAGTGCTTCTCAATCATTTTGCTCCAAGTAAGGGTTTGCGATATGTATCGTCAACGATAATATCGTAATTATTGTTTTAACAATGTGCAAATCTGCTTTTTGAACAAATCAGTTTCAGTAATTCAGTGACCGACTTTGACTCTATGATGAATGACTCAATGACTCAACTCAAGACAGTCGCAGTTTCCATACTATATAATATAAAAACGGTATGCAAGAAAAGTATTATGTCCAAATTCATGGTATTCAACAGTAGGCAAAAAGTACCTGGATGAGCTACTACTTTCGCCGAGATTCTGGTTCCAGAAAATATTGAGATTATCATTTTTGTCATGAATATTGCACACCCCTAAAGTCCCAACATTGTCCCCAAAATATTAAAAGCAACAAGCAACCCCCTAGCCCCAGTTTTTTGTTTTTTTGTTTTTGTTGTTGTTTTTTTGTGTTGTTTTGTTTTGTGGCATTTTGTTTTGTTTTGTTTTGTGTTTTTGGTTTTGTTTTGTGTTTTGTTTTGTTTTGTGGCTTTTGTTTTGTTTTGTGTTTTTGGTTTTGTTTTGTGTTTTGTTTTGTTTTGTGGCTTTTGTTTTGTTTTGTGTTTTTGGTTTTGTTTTGTGTTTTGTTTTGTTTTGTGGCTTTTGTTTTGTTTTGTGGCTTTTGTTTTGTTTTTTTGTTTTGTTTAAGGGTCAATCCTGAGGTTATTCCTAGTTTTTAAATTAAAAAAAGTAACAAAAATAATTACGATTACAATTAAAATAACTACATTTCATGATTTCAGATGTTTTAAGAGTTGAATGTTCATCCGGGATCCCAATCTTCTTAACCAGTGAATTTACATGACTCTTCCAGTCATTGTGATTTACTGGATAAGGATTTAGGAGAAGGGTTTAATAAAAGAAAAAAAATTACCCACACTTACATTTTATTCTTCCCAATGGATATTTTAGATCTTGGCATAACTAGAAAATGTATATTCATTATAAGAATGCCTGTGGCATTTTAAGATTGTATTCTTTTTTACATCACACTTTTAAAATCAGGCTGCCTTATCTTCCATGGGAACCCTGGTTGAAAACTGCAGATCACATAAAATGACCTCTTACCCACAAAAAGAAGCTTCAACAAAGAAAACAAACCTTCCAGAAAGACTCATCATTAAACCAAAAACATGTTTAATAGGTGGTAAAACAAGCTAGTTGTGAAGCACGCAGCTTTCCTGAAAGACTCAAGAACATCTTCAACAAAAAGTGACCATGCAGCCACCTGCGAGCAGAAAATCCATAGGGTTTCATTTGGCCAGGCTGACTTGTGCAATGCAGCTCACTGACTGTGATCTGCAGTGAGTGAGGGGCAGTTAAATGTGTTAATTAAAATGCATCTCTGCTTAAACCAGTGGTTTTGTAAAGACTTAAAAACCAATAATGTTGACAGTGATAGTGTCCAACCATAGGCAGGTTGTGTGCCGTTCTGGAGTCACTTAAAAATGTTTTAAAAATCCCAATTCAGAAGTGAGACTGCAAAAAAAGATCAGTTGTGTTGTTTATTGCAGTAAAGTATATTTTAATGGCTCTCTGTTAATTTTTAGACCAGAAATGTTTGAATTATTAGCCAAAAAATAAACTTAATTCCTTTGAATTTCTTTTGAATTGCAGTATAACATATCCTGCAAGTTGTGGCCGATTCAGTTTAAATTCACACTTCTCAAATGAAACGGAAACTATTCGTACATATTTTATCTATTTCTATTTTATGATATTTTAATGGTAGTGATTGATGGCAAGATCAGAGTGCTCTTAATTTTGTATCATTACGAATAAACGCTTTTGTCTTATGGCTTACTTCGTTCCTTTTTTTCCCCCAGAAATTTCCAGAAGAGGGCCTGGCCAACGTGGTGAGGAATGTGTTTGACTTTGACTCCTATAACAAGGACATGCGTGAGGTACTGATCACAGCGCTGCACAAGCACGGCATTCCCATCGGAGCCAAACCCACCAGCGTGCACCTGGCCAAGGAGTAAGAGCTCAGCTCCTATTGCCCTTTACTGTCCGTGAATGCAGTATCATGAACAAATATCATGCACGTTCTCTAATAGACACACTGTCCTGGACTGATATAACTACCTGTTGAAGGGATCTGCTCTGCTTGGTCCTCAAACCATACACTTGAACAAATGTGTTTGTTTAAAGGTGAAGTGTGCAATTTTTGCAGCAAAAGAGACACTGAGGTAGTCCTGTCCCAAACTCACGCCATTGGTTGAGCCAGTGCTGTTATGTTTGGCCCAGTCGGACTGCTCAGATAAACAGCAATTTGGTTTCTAGTATCACATAAATTACAAACTTCACCTTTAACAGATGCTTTTATCTCATAAGCTCGTTTCAATGAATGTGCAATAGACAAAACCCTAAACATGCTTGAATTTAGTAAACCGCAAAACTTACTTGGACTCTTACTGGAATAACTTAAACTGAAAACTTGATTGCCAATGTCTGGTTAATGCATTTAAACGATATGAAAGATTTTGGGCAAATTCCAATCGGAAGCGAGCATCTCTATGCCCTGTTTGTTCATAGAGCAGAGCACTTGAGGTGGGAAATCTGGAGACAACTGTGTGGTTGTTTGTAACAGACTTGGTGAAGGGAGCAGTTAAAAACAACACCATTTCCTCTGGAACGGCCCTTTGTGTGGCGTCCATGTCCCATCTGTCCAAGTGACCTTCCACAGTTTGGAATGTGCGCTTTATCTGATTATCATGAGTTAGTCATCCGCATTATATAACAACAAATATATTTCTCATTCAATAGCAGTCATTTCATTTGCTCAGTGTTGTATATTATACACTTTCAATAAAGGAAATTATTTGTTTCTTCCGTCTCATATTTGTCTTATTTCACTTGCTTTTGAGTGTTTTGCCATCTGGTATACACAGTTTGTTATATTTTATAAAAAATACTGGAAAATTTTAAAAAGGGAAGAAACAAATATTTCCTTTTGAATTATGTTTCTATATATATATATATATATAATCACCTTAGTATTTGAAAGTTTAAATGTTTGTTTACCAAGGCTGCCGTAATATTATGAAATATCTGTACAACTTTAAACAACTATTTTCTATCTTAATATATTCCTGTGATGCAAAGTGAATTTTCAGCATCATTACTCCAGTCTTCAGTGTCACATGATCCTTCGGAAATCATTATATTATGCTGATTTCCTGCTCAAGAAACATTATACATTATTATTATCAATGTTGAAACAGGATAGCTATTTAATATTTTTGTGGAATCCATGATACATTTTTTCAGGATTATTTGATTAACAGAACTTTCAAAAGTACAACATTTATGTGAATTAGATACATTTTCTATCTTAATATATTCCTGTGATGCAAAGTGAATTTTCAGCATCATTACTCCAGTCTTCAGTGTCAGATGATCCTTCGGAAATCATTATATTATGCTGATTTCCTGCTCAAGAAACATTATACATTATTATTATCAATGTTGAAACAGGATAGCTATTTAATATTTTTGTGGAATCCATGATACATTTTTTCAGGATTATTTGATTAACAGAACAGAACTTTCAAAAGAACAACATTTATGTGAATTAGATACATTTTGTAACATTATAAATGTCTTTACTGTTACTTTTAATCAATTCCATGCATCCTTGAATAAAAATATTTTTCTAAAGAGAAAAAGTCCTTTTGACCCCAAGGTTTTCATTGATGCGTTACATTAAAAGTGTTTTAATGCTGTATTGCATTAATATTTTATCTTGAGGGGAATGATATGTCATCCCATCTGCTTCAGTTGCAGAGTAGTGCGGTAATGTTTTCTCTGGGAATAGTAACTGAGCAATAACCAGATGTGAAACTACAACCTTCCTGAATATCAATGAGCTCCAGCCCTACTACAGAGACAGCAGAATGAAGCAGTGACCACCATTTACATGCACATCATTTTCCAATTTAAGTCCAAGTTTTCATGAAGGTGCTGTGCATGTAAACCAAGATTTTGAAATGGCAAAAAATCTAGGTGTGCCGGTCAACTTTTTGCCTAACCCAATAAAACAACACCGTTTAAGGTGTTTTCATGATCAACATGTTGTCATAATCATTATAAGATTTACAAAAGTCATGTCTTTGGCAAAAAGGCAATCACCCGATTCCCTTTTCCCAGGTTACCATTGCCAGACTGTAAGATGGCAGGTTACTGGACCATCAATCAGGGTGGAAGTACACGACGAAAGCTGCTGTGTCCAACAGAGTCCCATCGGATAGATGTCAAGGTATCATAACCCATTCTATTTCCAGTATTTCAAAATTGTTATTAGCATATAACACTAATTTGATGTCTGTGGTTCTCCTCAGGGCCCTGTGTTTCTGCGGGTTCAGAGTTATCCTTCTGAGAGGCACGAGTCCAGATCTATGAGCTTCACCGAGGAACAGGCTCACTGGCAGATTCCCATGAACGAGGTCAACATCGTCTGCGACGTCACCACTGCTAACGGTATCTGCTATCACAGTCTCATGTAGCCAGATCTAAGATCTAATGAATGTGGAATTATAAAGTCTTGTGGCTTTTATTTTGAAAGTGAATCATTGTTTTTCTTCATAGATTCCATTTATGTGGCCACATGTAACCCTGTATCGCTGTATGCTATGAAGGAGAAAGGAGACTCCGTCCAGTGCATTGAGCTCTATGACGTCTTCCCCCGGACCATCAGTGGAGTCTGGCAGCCTTTTGTCTCTGTGGCGGCACTGGGCAATCCGCTGCAGGACCAGGTGATGCTCCATGAAGAACAGGTGTGTGTGTGTGAACCCGCTCTTCTACACGGGCACTTCACATGAAAGCCTTGCCGTCCACTTGCTGCCATTACGATCCGTTTACAGGTGTCATTCCTGCCCTGAGGTTCATCTGAGACATGCTGTTTGAGCACGGATCATCAATAGATGCATCTTTTCCACCAAACCCATACGGGGAAAACAATGTCTAATAATAGCGGATGAAAATAGTAAATGGTCACAGATCAAAACAAGTTTGAGGCAGTTTGACAAGTTTGAGCTAATAGATTCACCATAGTAGGATGAGATGTGATGTTTGTGCAATAATACCATTTGGTTGTTTTTTTTAAAGGGGTGGTTCATTGCGAATTCACTTTTTTAACATTAGTTAGTGTGTAATGTTGCTGTTTGAACATAAACAATATCTGCAAAGTTACAAAACTGAAAGTTCAATGCAAACGGAGATATCGTCTTTTAAAATTCTGGCAGTTTAATGCCTACAAAAACGGCTGGTAGGGACTACAACAAGTTACTTCCCGGGTTCGTGATATCACAAACCCAGATAAACCCCGCCCTCGGGAAAAGGCAGCAAAGGGGGCGAGGCCATGCTGCGCTACTTTAGAGAAGAGGAAGAGAAAGTATATTAAAAGCTAACATAAGCAGTAGCATTTACAAATAACAGTGTATCTAAAAGTATGAGACAACAACAACAAAAAACATAGGCCTACCATTAAAAGCCGTGCTTGCACAGGTTCTGTGCGATCCTCTTCACTATTATACTCTGCTTCTCAACCGGGCTCAAACTGATAAGCGATATTAAACACAATCAATCCTAGAAAAAAAACAGTGAACCACCCCTTTAAATATAACATGTTATATGTCTTGAGGTATACTGGAGCCTGCACGTTATCCACTGTACTTTACTGGATGTTACTGTCGTTATGTTTATACACTCTAAAAAATGCTGGGTTAAAAACAACCCAACTTGAGTTATTTGGCAACCCAGCGCTGGGTAAATATTGGACAGAACACATGCTGGGTTATTTTAACCCAGCTGGTTGGGTTAATGTTTTTTTTAAAGGTGCCATAGAATGGAAAACTGTATTTACCTTGGCATAGTTGATTAATAACAGTTCTGTACATGGAAATGGCATACCGTGAGCCTCAAACACCATTGTTTCCTCCTTCTTATGTAAATCCAACATTTGCATATACCGCCCATGTTCTATGCCAGCCGCCAGCCGAACCTGCACAGCCGAATCAAGTTCTGCAGGTATTGTGAAGAAACAAGCAAGGATAATAACGAAAATGGTAGATCATGGAAATAAATATTATGTTCCAGGCTGTGCAGGGGATGTGAAGTGCAGGGATGGGTTGGTGTCTGTATTCAGAAAGGCACGAAAAACAAATAACGCGCGTTCTAAAAAAATAACGCCAGCTACTAAAGGGACATGGTTTTACAGTATAATTACCCAACGATATAACTACGAGAGACAGTATTAAAATATATATTTTCCCTGTGTTTTCTTCCTGCTGTGTGAGCTACTGAAATGAGCCGCACTGTGAAACAGGCAATCAGAGCAGAGCTCAAACAGCCAATCAGAGCAGAGCTGAACATTATTATTCATGGCCCTTCCAAATAAGATAAAAACAGACAATTTAATTCTAGGGACAAACCCTAGGGTTGTAAATGGACATGTAAAACCGTTTCTGGAGATTTTTTGCCCTTACCTAAGCCACATACCTTCTATGTAGATATCAGAGAACAATTTAAAATATTGTATCAATGCATTCTATGGCACCTTTAAGTCAACTATTGTTTAAAAATAATTATATTACTGCCTTAAAATGGGCTGGAAATTAAAAATCACACACAGAATTACTATAGGCAACAGCAATAATCAAAATATGAACATTTATTAATCAAGAACACATGGACAAAATTGAATTTATTTGGGTGAATACAGCATAGTTTACAATATTTAAACATACATTTAAACTCAATTAACAAGCATTTTAAGAAATAAATGTAACATTTAAAAGTAGCATTTTAATTCAAGTGTATTTAACCGGTCTCTGTGATCACTTTTTACCGCTATAGTGCTAATTCTCGTGCCGATGTGTCATTGAAATCGGAGCCGGTGAAGGGCTGCTGTTCGCGGGAAAACTGCGAACTTTAGACCGCGGCCTCGCGTTTCACTCATAGCTGAGAGATGCCGTGACTGACTTCAAAACATGCCCATAAACAAACAGTACTGAGATTAGAGAACGTATTATAACATCAAATTAAATTAAACTCAGTATTATAACGAATAAAATCCATTTATGTTATGCAAGGCAAAAGGGTTTCCATCATGACCGCTGCTGACGCAGCTGACTGACTCGTCCTTACATTGTGTTGCATATAATAATATAATTTACAGCACAGTAAAGACTTTATATATATGAAATAAAACATATACAAACCTTTATTTCGCTGAAGAAGTGCACTAAATCGGCGACAGCACTGATCGCTCTCTCCTGTAGAGCACTCAAAAAGCCTGTGCTCTGACTGTAGCTCAGCAGCTGGGTTGTTTCGTCTGAGACAGGTTCAAACCAGCGGTTAGGTAGGAAAAAAAATAACCCAGCAACTTAGGTACAGAGAAACTACTCTGCACCTGGGTAAAAAATATTAAAAATTACCCCAAAAAATGACCCAACAGGCTGAACCCAGCATTTGGGTTGAAAAAAAATAACCCAGCATTTTTTAGAGTGTAGACTGTTTATCCTTAGTTAAAATTTAAATGGCAACCTTTGTAAGATTTAAAGGGGTCATATGACGATGCTAAAAAGAACATTATGTTGTGTATTTGGTGTAATGCAATGTGTTTATGCGGTTTAAGGTTTAAAAAACACATTATTTTCCACATAATGTACATTATTGTTGCTCCTCTATGCCCCGCCTTTCTGAAACGTGTCAATTTTTACAAAGCTCATCCTTCTGAAAAGCGAGGTGTACTGTGATTGGCCAGCTATCCAGTGCGTTGTGATTGGCTGAATACCTCAAGCGTGTGACGGAAATGTTAAGCCCCTTAACACACTCGTTGCGTATCGCGGCGCGTAAACTTAAAACCATGTCTGCATTTGTGATCGGAGAAACGACAAACAACAAGCGCTACTCG